GTACCAGGAGGAAAGTGCTGGGAGGGGTCATTTGGGGAAGCAGCTCAAGGAAGGACTGCAGCTCTGGTGGTGGAGGAAACACAGCTTGCTGCTGCCGCCAGTAGGGTCCCTGCGCTGGAACGCAGAACAGAGGATGGACCCAAGTTCCCCTCAACTCTCCCTGCATCACTACGGAGACTGCCCCTGAGTGGAGGTCAGGACTAAGGAGGGGTTTCACCCCAAACCTGTTGACTGGCCTGTGATAAAGGTGGTTCAGTAGAATGTGACCCCTTGTCTCCAGTAAAGGGACAGAGGCTATGCAGAGGGTCACAGCGAGCCTCTGAGGCAAGTGCTAACCGCCTAGAAGTGCAGGGCACCTGAGGCAAAGCCACATCTGCTACACCAAGGGTGGGCAAAAATTTTTGAAGTGGCCCCAGACAGCACCGGAAGAGGTGGGACCAGGATGCTTCCAGGCTTCCCCACCCCCAGACCATGATTGGCCAGGAGGCAGGAGAAGATCACAAAGTCTCCTCCACCCTACTTCTAAGTGCCACGCGCTCCTGGCAGGGTGGGAAGAGGCTTCGTGTGCTCCCCTGCCTCCAGGCCAATCACGACCTGGGGGTGGGGGAAGCGCACAAAGTTTCCTCTGCCTTGCAAGGAGCACGCAGAACTTCTAAGTACCACACACTCCTCGCAGGGTGGGGTAGGGTGGAGGAAACTTCACGCGCTCCTGCTGCCCCCAGACCCTAATTGGTCTGTGGGTGGGGGAAGCGGCAGGGCCTCCAGGAGCCGGAACAACCCGCTTGACAGACTAGATCCAGCTCGTGGAGGCCCTTTTGACCACCCCTGAGCTACACACACACATACACCACTTTTGTGAGGAGCAGACACTGGCCATGGGGGCGCGCGCGCGCGCACACACACACACACACACACACACACACACACACACACACACACACACACCCCACTTGGCCATGGGCTTGATCCTGTGGGAGGCCAAGCACATCTTGACATGCTGAGCCTCCTTAGCCTCCATTAGTCAACTGAATGGGAATTCACAGTGTTGGGCACCAGTAATTCAACTTTCAAGTGTTCTGAGAACAAGTCTGCTATTTCTCTTCTATGCCCTCTGAACCGTTTCCAGCCAGCAGAAAATCCAAGTCACTTCCTCTCCGTACTTCTTTTCCACCCTCTGGCTGCTGCTTTACTTGCTCCAGAGAATATTACAGTCACTAACACGTGATGACTGGTGTTTGGCCAATAAAACCAGTCAATGTCTCAAAATGTAGCTCTACTGCACTCTTGCCACAGATATATTTTGGTTCCACTAAGTGCTCCATTCTCTAGGATATTAGTCACACTCACAGAGTAACTCAGGAGGTGTTTCAGCTGTCTCAACATGCAGGGTGCTCCCCTTACCTCCAAAGCCTCCATCAGCTGTTCTCCTGTCTCAATATTGGGTACGTGAATAGTGGTGCTGAAAGCATCGAGCATTTCCATTTCCTGAAGGACATCTTTACGGCTGGTGGTTCCAATGATTAAAAGTTTGCGACCCTAACCATAAAAAACAGAATAAGTGTCAAGAAAGAAAAAAGGTCATAGGCTAGGAGGGAAATGGTGAGAAATTATCCTTAAAGCCCTTCAACTCATCTCTAAGAGACTGACAACTGAGCTATCAGATTTAAAATAAGGTCGTCACCAGTGCAAATCTTTAACAAGACAACGTGCAAGTATAAGGTTAAGGAAATCAGACTCTGTCCTGCACAACAGAGTCAAGAGATACCTCAAAAGATAATAGCATGTCCAAAGTATGAAAAAGCACTACACTATTCTGTTGCTATTCCCTTGCTCTCCTCTACACTGGCAGAAAACTCACTAAAATCTTAGCATGCCATATTGTTATCCACATTCTTTTACTGTATTTATCTAGAGAGCTCAGAGCGGAGTTGTTTATAAATTTCAATGAACAAAGTCAGATTATTAGCTCAAGCGGTCCTACACGCAAGGACAAATTACAAATGTCCAATGAGGTGTTAGTAAGTAGGATCAAACCCTCATTCATGCTTCCAGAAAGCAGCAGAGGTAATAGAAGTAAAGGGAGAAAGATAAGCCAATAGTTAGATGTGGATCCTTCATCTAAAGCACTTGTTTTATAGGCTGAAAAGAATAAAAGACACTAAAGCAATTGCTAAGCCTTTTGTTACACAAAGTACAAGACTAATTTACTAATCCTTACCCCATTTCTGGGCCTCAGTTCTAACAAAACAGGTTTTAAACAAAGGCTTGGAAGCGGCACGATGCCAGTAATTCTAAAAGGATGTATTAAATCCCCCCAATGAACCACAAACAGTGACGTTCAAACGATGCTGAGGCCCAACACTGCACCAAGATGGCCAATTCAGAGTTAAAGCAGAAAGTGCGCCTCAAGTCATTCCAAAGGCAGCAGTGTCCAGCCATGAAAACTGACCCCGTGTTCAAAACTTGCCATGCTTGGGGAAAAAACCTGAGATTTGGATAATGGAAAGAATCTCAGCCTTAGCTCTGATTTTCCTTGCGTTTTTGGGCCACAGCCATTAGAACACAGTGCCTGATGGACTTGGGGTAGAGAATTTTTGAATGCCAAAATACAACTCAACAGCATGTTTAGGTCAATTTACAAATACCATTGTTTAAAGCACATATCAAGAATTCTATATTAGAATTCTAATCCTGGTAATGAAAATAGTTGTCTATTTTGCTGAAAATATCAAATTTTAGTCCAATGATAAGCTGTTACACAAAGATTTTAATCCATAGATCTAAAAATGCTTTAAAGGTCTTCTCCCTATTATAAAGTTGAGAAAACTCAAGCACACAGGGAATCAACAGCCGAGGTGGAAATACAACATTGGCCTCCTAACAATCAGTTCTATGCTCTGATCTCCTGGACCACTGTCTCAAACTCCATGTAACATTATGCTACTGAAGCATTTAATTAACAGATGGTTTAATTAACATCTGTTTAATAGGTGAGTGACAGCTCAGAGATGTGCACTATTAAATGTAAGATTTATACAAGTCATGAGATTAAAACAATTGTGTAATGTCAATAAATTATTCTACAAAAACCCTTAGCAACTGCCACCATTCTGTGCAAGTGATGGCACCAACTGAAGGTCTCTCTCTCACCAAAAGCTGCTCTCACTGACAGGAGTGTCAAAACTCATTTGGCAGCACGGATCAGGTGATTATCAGGTGTCTGGAATTCTGCAGGATTCCGTCTAAGCACCTCTACACATCTTCCAGATCAGTAGATCATCACAGGAATTGAATCCAAGCAAGGGATTCATCACAGATCTAAATTAAAGGGGTTTCTCATTGACAGATGGTCATGGTACTCAAGGTACTTACTGTAACCAAGCACAAATTACTAACTCTGCTGAATTAGTGTAATTTTGTATGTATCTCTAGAAGCAAAACAAGAGATAACCCAACAGCTGACGTCTCCTCATCCAACGTTTCTATTATGGTTGTACACCCAGGGCTCCATGGCACTGGATGCTGTAAAGAATTAGGTAAGAAATGATCCCAAGCCCACAGAGCTTACAACCGGAGAGACATGGTTTTCAAAATTAACCTGAACACTGGGATCGGCAGGCGTACATTACACATAAGCCACTAACAGGAATTCCATTTTCTTGCTCAGGTACTTTTAAAATTATTCCTCATTTCATCAGAGGGCCTCTTGTAATTTGCTGTAGAACTGACACGGATGCACGTGGAAGAAGATTCCTCCAAGGAGAGGAGCAGAGGATTGTGCATTTCACAATGAGTTGATTCTCTGTTACAGGTTATCAGCTACCTCTGCAGCTGGTTGGAGGTCTCCTACATTCTGCCCCCTTACCTGCTATCACAGCAGCGGAAATTTCTAGCTTTCCCGGGGCGGTCAGTAGAGCTGGTGGAAAAACTCTTTCCACGCCAAATTTCAACAAAAAATGTTTTAGTTGAAATGTGAAGCAGAAGACTTGAGAAGTGATTCTTCTGCTCTACTCTACACTGATTAGGCCTCAGCAGGAGCACGGAGTTCAGTTCTGGGTGCCACATTTTCAAGAAAGAGATGGAGAAACTGGAGAAGGTCCAAAGAAGAGTAACAAAAGATTAAAGGTCTAGAGAACATGACTTATAAGGGAAGACTGACAGAACTTGGGTTGTTTAGTTTAGAAAACAGAAGGCTGAGAGGGGACACTAACAGCTTTCAACTACCTAAAAGGTTGTTAGAAGGAGGAAGAAAAATGGTTCTCCTCAACCTCTGACAATAGGACAAGGAGCACATGGGAGGTTTAGGTTGGACATTGGGAAAATCTTCCTTTTGAGGTGGTTAAGCACTGGAATAAACTGGCTAGAGAGGCTGTGGAATCTTCATCGTGGGAGATATTTAAGAGCAGGGTAGACAGGCACCTGTCAGGGATGATATAGATGGTTGTTGGTCTTGCTGTGAGGGCAGGGGAATGGACTTGATGACCTCTCCAGTTCCCTTCCAGTTCTAGTATTCTATGATTCTGTGATTTCAGCTTTTCACAAAGAGAAAAAAAAAAATCAGTTTTGGTGACCAAAATCTGAAACATTTTGAACAAATATTTTTCAGTTTTGGGTTTCTGACCAAAAAATTGAATATCGAAGCAGCGTGTTTAAGACCAACATTTTCAGAAGTGGCCCCATGTTTCAGTGTTGAACCTGAGAAACTTAGGGACCAGCTGCCACAGATTTGGAGCAACGGCAAATTGCTGGGAAACTCAAGAGGAGCTGACAGTGCTCAGCGCCTGAAAGAAAAGATGTTTCAAGTTGGTCACCTAAAACACGGAGCCCTCACTGACCAGCAGTGACAGTTTCAAAAGCAGTGCAACCCATACAACAGTGTGAGATGTATGGGTTTGCATCAGAACAATCCTACACAAGACTGGGAGTCTGGAACATTGAGTCCTCCACTGATTTACTGAAAGACTATGGGCATGTTTTGTCCGTGTGTGCCTCAGATGTGTGATCTGTATAATGGAGATAACACCCAAATTTAAAAAGCACTTTCAGATCCATGGATGAAGGCAAGTGCTTTGTAAGTGCTAATTATTTTAAACAGTTGCTTTCCCCTCTTTTGAAACAACACAGATTTGTCAGTGAGACAGGGTTTTATATAAACTACATAGAGACTCTGCTATACACACGATTATTCAGATCCCCAAGAGAGCAAACTAATTCAGCAAATCTGATCATCCCATGATAAAGGAATCGGTAAGGGCCCAACTGAAAAACTGTAGCTACATTATAGCTGAGCACTGACAGAACGCAGGGGGAGAGAATAAAGCTATTCCCTATATTTCACTGTTTGACAGAGACTTTCACTTACCCGTGGTTCCTTATAATGGACATTTTGGGCATTTGGAACCCTTCCGTAAGTGATGGCAGAGGGGTTCAAACAATAGGCCGCATTCTGCTCTCAGTTACACACATGTAAATCCAGAATAACTATTGACTAAAATCAAATTACTCCCAGTTTTTACCAGAATAAAGGAAAGCAGGATCTGGTTCTATCATTTTAAACCTACTGCTCCCCCCCACCCACATGCCAAGCGATGCTGGGATATCATTATTGCATGTGGAATTATACCAGACAAGGCGCATGTTCCCTTCCCCCTCCTGCCTGCACAAATCTGCAGAAGCCTGCCAAGTCCCAGACAAGGAGGTGGGGGCATAGGAAGGGCATTCGCAAGGGTATCCAAGAGCATCTCGCTAAGCCGGACATTTCACAACACTGAACAAATTGTACGTCCAGCTTAGTTAGGGGATGCTGCAAAGGTCTTTCACTCCCTGAGCTGATTGTTAGCTTTTCACAGGAACCAGCAGGGAAGCACATGTGAAATCTCTGTGGAGCTGGTGAGCGTCCCCATGCCTTGTGTGACTCTGCATGTAGATGAAGCAGCCTCTTAGGCTTTCAGAGCTGCTGCTGCTTAGTTCTCAGAGAAGTCCTTTTCTACAGCTTGGCTCCCTGCTGCGACAGCCCTTTTCAATCTTTCTATTTCTTGCCCACCCCCATCTCCTCTGCTGCAGAAAACAGGGAAATCTGATTGAAATAAAGACCCAGAAGAACATGTTTTATTTTCTTCTCTTCACTCCATTTTAGAAAAGCTTTTTAATTGGTTTAAAAAGATGCTAAACAAAATGTAGGGGTTCTCAGTCTTCTTGAACTGGTAACAGATACCACGTTTTAAGCACTGCTCAAAGAAATTCTGAATCATGGAGCGCAGCAAGGAATTTAAAGCAAACTCAGCGTGGCTTTCAATGGCTTTTGTAGACTTATAGATTTATTTTGCAATTTAAAAAAAAGAGCAAACAAGCTAGAAATCCCAGCTCTGAGGGACTGCTATCCAACTAGCATTTCTAGTCCTGCCCGGGAAGAGTAAAGACTGAGACAGTCTCCATGGGAAGGAGGGGGAATCTGGGAGGCAGCTTTCATAAGCCAATTTAACACAGAGTCATGCATCTTGATGCATGATAATACAGTGGCCCAGACATGCCCCCTTTACACACTAATTTTGCCCATGGTAGTTGTGGGAAGCTGTTGGCAGATTAAGTCTCCATTCTGTGAGTGACATGATGGCACTGCGTGAATGCATAACCTAAGTACTTGCACCATGAGTATATGTTCCGCTGTCTTCTCCCCCCACTTTGGCAATTCCTGTAACTCCAGTCCTCCGTCAAACACATTACAATGGGCTCACGGCATGTCATGCTGACAAAAAATAAAACCAGAAGGTCTGTTTGACAGCAACGTGAGAGAGGACGTTTGTCTCCTCTGCCATCCAATGACAACTCTCAGGAGTGCTTAGGATATGCCTGGGAAGGCTCAGGGACTAAGTTTGAACCAGGTGTCAATCCTGCAGTGACTTATGTGCTTGCTCAATTTTATGCATGTGAGTAGCAGCAATGGGACTTATACACAGAAGCCTGTAGAATCATAACTAAAATCAGCAGCGACTGCAGACTAACACTCAGTGAGGGAATGGCTGATCACACAGTACTGCTTACCACAACTTCCCATTCCTATCCCTTTTGGGTTTTCTATCTCCATATGAAGCCCTGTGACTCTCTCAACCCACCTTACACCTCCCTACAGGGGAGGAGGAGAGTGCCACGGGGCCCAGGGCAGCGCCTCGGATCCCAGGGCAGCACAATTTTGCGCATGCGCCATGGCCACAGTCAACAGGAATTAGCGCATGCGCAGGGCCTATTGATGCTCCGGGCCCGGGGCAGCCGCCCTGCTCACCTTGCCCTATATCCGCCGCTGCCTCCCCTTGTCATAACCACCACCCTTGTGAGGACACATTCCAAAAATTGCTTGTTCTTTTCCAACTCCACTACAGGTTGAGATACAGCTCTTTCTCCACAGAAAAATTCTCTACTCTCAGCCACAAGGGCATGATGAGCATATAAAAAACTAGAAGTTTGTTACAGGGCTAAGGGCTTCTCTACAATACCCTTGGCCCTTTAAATCACCGCTGGAGCACTGTGTGGTGTGCTCCAGGCAGCACTGAGAGCTACCTGGGAAGCTGGGGGTGGGGGAAGGGATGGGGCATTCTGGGCAGTACTGAGGGCTGGCTGAGCCCCAGCTCCGCCCTTCCACCTTGTTTGGGGGCTCGGTGAAGTGGTCTGTTCCCCTGGCTACTGTATTTCAGTGGGAATTTTGTACCGCTTCTATAATTAAGCCAAATACTGTCCTGAATAAAAGTGTTTTATTTATGTATCATTACTACTTTATTTTCCAGTATGTGACATTAAGAATAGGCTGCCAATTTATTCAAGGTGGTGTTTTGTTCTTTTGCCAAAGCATTTCTTCCACTTTTCCCTTATTCCACATTTCACATGCTCTAAAAGTGGAATTCAAATGAATAGGCAGGAAATGGTGATAAGAGACCCTCTTGCCTCCCCTAAAGCAAACCAAGATGTCATTTGCAAGATACCTAAATTTCACCATGTCAACAAATGTAAGTATAAAGGACTTCTCAGCACTATTTGTAACTAAGGAGCTTACTATCCGATTTTAAAAACATTAACAGGTACCTGGGGATTTCAAATGAGGCAGACAAGATAAAAACCTATGCTTAATTGAAAACACTTCTCCACACCTGAGAAAATTATTGTTTTAATTAGATAAGAGAAACAACAAATCTGAGTTTAGGAAGATTAGAATTTACTGCTCCTTAGACAAATCAATGGCCAGAGAATCTTCACTCTGAAAACTTGCCATGTAGTCTGCATGCTTCTTATTTAAGCGATGTGCAGCTATCCAGAGCTAAATGTGTTACTGAATAAACAACAACGAACCAGGATAAACTCAGTTAAAAGCCTGTGTTCAGCCACTGCTACAATTAATTGTGTGTCAGCCAGGTGTGAAGACCTCTACTGAGCAGAGGTTATACTAGGTGACCTCCTGAGGCTCTTCCAACCCTAATCTTCTGTGATTCCACAGTAGTATTTTACACAATTGTCAACGACTGTCCAAAGGTGCAATGGAAACTCAGCCCTACCATGCAATTTTCTTACCTGAGGAGGTGCCTTTTTTAGCAACACGAGAAGGGCCTGCAACACCAAGTTGGAGAATCGTGGTCCAATAGGAACATAATCTGGAAGGAGGGAAAACTAATATTTTCAGGGTGTATTGAGTCAGCATGCCCTCCCGCTGACCCGGAAGGGGAACCACTTCCTAAGACCCCTTGCTGGGTGGGGCTGGAGCTGCTCGACCCCACCCACAGGAAGCAGGAGGGTAGGATTGGGACTATAAAAGCAGGCACTGAGAGCTCAATTAGAACCCATGGGCTGAGCAAACCACACACTCTCCCCAGACGGAAGGCGCAGCTGCCCCGTCTTAGAAGGGACCACTGGGTTGGACTGCCTGAGCTGTTGCCAGACCCAGAGGATGGGCCACGGCCACCCCGACTGCCGCCGAGCGCAGAAGACTGGCCGAGGGGGCCCTGGAGATTGGGCTGCACCCCTGGGAAAGCTGAGTGACCCAGACCCCATGGACACCTTGCCCACACTGTCATCCACAGCAGACTCCAAAGGAACGGTGGCTGAGCCAGGTGGGCCCAAGGGGGAACTGGGAAGAGGCTCAGGGAAAGCCGACCCTGGGGTTGCTGAGGAAATGGAGGTCAGCTAGGCAGCAAGTTGCAGTCGGGCCGGTGCCCCCAGCCGTCCCTCACCTTGGGTGGCAGGTCCTCCCCCTAGGGAGAAAACCCCACGCTTGTCAGCTCCCCACCTGAGCAAGGAGACCCGACCCCTGCTCTGCCTGCAGACAGGCCTGAGCTTTGAACTGTGCACTGCCCTGACTAAGGGCACAGCCTCAGACTGCGGCTCAGCCTGTAGCCGGGCCTGAGCCATTAACTGTTCCCAGCCCTGCCCTGAGCCAGGCCAGGGCTCAAACTGCTGCTCAGCCTACAGACTGACCTGCTTAAACTGTCCTGACCCAGGACGTGGTCTCTTTAAACTGCTGCCCGTCCTGCAGCCAGATTTATGCCACAGGTTACTTGCTTGCGGCCCACCCTAAGGAAGGGTCTGGGCCTACAGACAGCAGCTCAGCCTGCAGACAGGCCTGAGCCTTACCGGCTACACAGTTTACAGACGCTGTTTGCTCTGCCCTGCTCCGGGGTTAACTTCACTGACTGCAGCTGAGCCTGCACCCTGAGCCCTGACCCATTTGGAGCCTCACCCTGGGCTGGGGCTGAGACACTGGAGGTTGCTGGTTGGCCAGGGAGTGTCAAAGTCACTGTGGCCCCCGCAGACCCGGACGATTACACGGGGCTTATGAGTATAAGCAGGACTCAACAAACCGCTGTTCCCACTCGCCCGTGGCGAGTAGATTTCAGCCAGTCGATCCGTGTGCCCCATTCACCGGTGCTGCGTGCACACGCAGTGCTGGTCTGGCGCATGCACGGTGTGGGGCTGGCAAGTAGCTCTCGCGGCAGTATGTCGAGCCCTGAGTATAAGTATGTTCAAACTTCCAGATTTCATTTAGCATGAACAGCGAGAATCAAATTTTTCTGGTTCATTTATCAAATTCCATTGTACTCCTCAAAGGAAAGCAGAGCGACTTAAAGACAAATCTTCACTCTCGGCCTTGCAGTCACAATGAAGCAATGGATTTCAAATTGAGAATTCACACTATTTCTAGTTCTTTGTCACTTGCGAATGCCTGCTGTATGGCTTCTGAATAAGCCTCCCTGCAGAACAGTGGCCTTTCCTTTCACTGCAGGACACCTCTGGTATTCTAGCTCGTATTTCCTGAGCAGACCCTGCCTGATTGTAAGGTATCTGGGTTAAAGAGAGAGGAAACCATTCTTCTTGGATGACCTAAATCTGTGCCCACAAAGTGCATTAATATACAGTTTTCAATATACAATGCCTGTCTATTACCCAAGAAGTGTCTGTGTCTCTTTTTTTGGCAGACTGATTGACAAAACAAATACTGTAGAAACCCAACCAGGAACCAAAATCACTTAAAAAAATCAATAAATGCATGAAGCTTGTAAGAGAGGTCACAACTTCCCCAGAGACCATATTCCTGTACGGCCAGTGCTCACATTACATGGTCATTCTATTGTTCTCTTAACATTGTCTTTGTTTCTATAATGTAGACATTTTGGGCCAACTGCCTCGCTGCCTTGTTCCATGTACAGTGAGCCCCAGCTGTGACAAGTGGGTGTAAAACACAAGGCAATCAGAATTCTGCATTTATTCAGACAGGTGGCACAGCAGAACCTTAATTATAAATACCAGAGTTACAAAATGAGCTACTAAATCTCACTTTTCATTTGGAACTGAAAAGTACACAATTGGGCAGCAGCAGAGACCCCCAAAAGCACAAATACAGTACAAAAGACCCTCATGATTCACTGTTTGCGATTTTGCAGATCTTTCCTAACCCTGAGATTTGCCTTTCTACCACCACCCTGTCCTCTCCCCACCATTGCACCCTGTCCCCTGCGCTGGGGGGGTGGGGAAGGATGGGAAACGAGGTCTTGGAGGGGCCTGTTGCAGGGCAGCAGGCTCCACACCCCTGTACTCACCATGCCAGCCAGGAGCCATGGGGAAATGGAACACTCTGCTTCCCCTCACCCCCAGTAATCACGGATTTCACCATTCACAGTGGTGTTAGGAACACAGTCACCGTGAATGGCGAGGGTCTCCTGTACAGTACAGTGCTGTGCTAAATGTAAACTACCAAAAAGATAAATAGAACGTGTAAACAAAGATTTGACAAGGTAAGGAAACGATTTCTGTGCTTGTTTCATTTAAAGTAAGATGGTTAAATACAGCATATTCCTTCCGCATAGTCAAGTTTCAAAGCTGTATTAGGTCAATGTTCAGTTGTAAATTTCTGAAAGTTCATCATAAAATTTTGCTCAAAGTTACTAACCATCTCCATTCCTGAGGTGCTCAGAACTCTGAGGTTTTGATTTAGTTGGGTTTAGTCCTGCTTTGAGCAAGGGTTGGACTAGATGACCTCCGGAGGTCTCTTACAATCCTAATTTTCTGCAATCCTATGATTCTACTATAGCATTTTACAGAGCTGTCAGTGACTGTTCAAAGGTGCAAGGCAGCGAAGAATCAGGCCCCTTTTTCTGACCTAATTAACGGTACAAATCTCATTTAGTTTAAAATGACGCAGATGGAAGCTGGAGCACAGTGACCAACTCAAATACCTTATAACAGTGGTTCCCAACCTGTGGTCCATGGACCCCTGGGGATCCGTGTTGGTACTGTAGGGGGCCCATGGAAAGTTTAGAAAAGGAAAAAAAGTAAGGATCAGGCCTACTTTGGGACTAGGACTTTCCGCCAGGCGATTCTCCCCCAGGACTCTCTGTTCATGACTGGCTGCACACACGCTACCTCCCACTTTCAGGATGGACTCTTGATACCCCAGGATGCACCATGTGTTTTTCCACTGCCAGCTTGTGCTGCCATTTACACTCCAGCCTTCTCCTCCCTCCCAGTCCCACAGTGGGCCTGATCCTTCCTTTTCTTTTCCCTCCCCCAGGGCTCCATGTCCAGCCGAGTGCCAGGGCAGGAGCTGCCTTTGGCCATGAGAGCCCCCACCGTACCCTGTATGGATGGGCAGGGGACAGAGGAGGTGGGAGCTGAGGAAGCAGCATGGGCCAAGGGATGTGCCGGCCACCACTTCCCACCTCTCCCCCATGGGGGGCATTTTAACAGATTGAAAAGGGGTACATGTGCTTGAAAAGGTTGGGAACCACTGCCTTAGAACAAGATGAAGTTAACGCTGAGGTAGAAGACAAGCATATTGCTGTTGGGCTTCAGAAATGAGACATGTTTACACCAACACTGCGGATCAATTAAGGCCTGTGAATTTTCATACCTAGATTAACCACCTAACAAAGTCACGGTTCCTGGATCATTTCTGGCTGGTAATATAACTTTGTTGCACGGAGAACTCAAAATTCCATGACTTACCTAGGAGCCTTTCAATGTCATCCACTACTACACAGCTAAGCTGGGACTTGTAGGCGTCATCAAAGATCTAGGGGAAAAACAATAATGCCTTAGTAGTGCCAAAAATTTCATTCTAAAAGAGCTCCAAGATTTTCTCAGTTACATACATGTGAACATGCCTCCAACACTTCACCTCAGACTGTTTCCAGGTGGCTGAGATCAGATTATCAACCAGACAGACAGAGCAGGAACATGCTAGTCAGATTCCTTTTCCCGTTATGTGCTGGGATTTTTGAAACATGAAAAGGCCTATATGTTTGCCAGTCTTACCTAACGCTTACCATCTCCTTGACAGCTTAGCAGGAGCCTCTCCTTCAGACCCATCCATCTGTCTCTCCATTTCCCCCCAAATAGCCCCAACAACTGCCTCCCACTCTCCCAGGTGTCCTCTTAATTCTTGTAACCTTTCAATTTTTTACTTCTCAGCCTGGGAAAAAGCAGCTCTCTAAATTAGGGCTCGTCTTCACTGCTGTGGAGATTGATGCTGTGGCAGTTGATCTTCCATTCCTGGAGCGGGTGACACTGATCCTGAGCCAAGAGAGGGGCTTCACAGCCAGGCCACTTCTCCTTTCGCTGGTGTTTGAAGTCATTTTGCTCCTTTCTCCTCCATCTGCCTCAGCTCCTCGTGCATCAGATCTAAGTACGCTGAAGACATGACTTAGTGACACTAAGGCAGGGATGGGCAATAGGCGACCTGCGGGTCCGATGTAGTTCACCAAGGTTAGCCCCTGGCAGGCTGTCAGATGTTTTCTCTCCCTGCACATCTGCAGTCATGGCCACTCACAGGCCCTGTTCTCAGCCAAGAGAGCTGTAGCAAGTGGTGTGGGCCAGGCACCACAGGCAATGGGAGCTGCAAGTAGTCATACCTGCAGATGTGCCCTTATGGCCCACACCTGCACTAAGGCAACACGTCAGGAAATTTTACTTGCACTTCTTGGATCTAGGCTCCCACCTTCCTGTGCTTGTGTTCAGAATCCTCTTTGCTCTGCTGAAGAATCCTCACCCGAGTGGACAGTTCCACTTGGCCACCCCAAAGTTCACCATCAGCAATTTGGTTCCTTCCAGACATTCTGTCAGCTCCTTCATGGCTTGTAAACACCTCTGCCTCCTTGCCTGGATATGTGCCTCATGAATCTTGGCCTATGATTCAGCCCCTGCTGGCAAAAGGTTCACTTATCTAACAAACTTCTGAGAAACTCACTACACACAACACATTGCTATTACTGTATTTTACTATAAAGAAGGTATCAAATGAAAGCTTACATCATACTGGTTATAACCACTGCAGGACATATATACAGGTAATTTAAAAGTTGAATGCATTTCCAAAAAATGTTTAGAATCAAGCAGGACTGACAAGCAGCTTGGTCCTATGAAAAGGAGTTGTGATTAATCTGGGCAGCAGATTAAGTTTTATACTTACCCTACAACACAGGGTAAACAATTATACAGTGATTTTATTTGTAGCCGTTTTCAATTTATAATATCTTTGCTTAGTATCATGTACACCCCCACCTGTTAATAAGCTCTTTTTCTTGGTTTATTATAAGTTCATGCCAGTGCAATAATACAGCAGAATGTGAATCCTCATCAGCTGAGCCAACAGGCGGTCATGTAAACTGTCTCTGTGGAAACAGCAAAAACTTGGCAATTTCTGTGAGTGTGTCTACTGACAGGGCCTGGATACTGCAAAGGAATGCCCTTCCAGGGATTCTGGGAACTAGGCTGTATCACACGTTACTTGAAAAGCAAAGAGGGCTAGCACAATCCCAGGAAGTTTGTTTGGCTGACTAACAAACTGGTGTCACTAAGTTTAACACCAAGTCACTTAGTTATGGATTAAGGATGTTAAGGACTAGGCAATGATCCTATAAGCAAATGCTTATTGGGTAGTTTAGTTGACTAGTCGACTCCTCCTCCCCTTTTTGCCTCTATCAGAGATTCAGAGAGAGTACTTCAAAGCGACAGTGCTGCACAGCTGATCCCAGGCTCTGTGCGGTGTTGCCCCTTTAAAATTCCACCTTGGCGTTCAAAGCAGCAGTGCTGCATGGAGCTGACCCTGGGCTCTATGTGGCGCAGCCCCTTTGAAATGCTGTGGTGGCATTTTAAAGGGGCAGTGCCACACAGAGCCCGGGATCAGCTATGTGGAGCTGCCCTTTGAAACACTGCCATGGTGTTTCAAAGTGGCAGTGCTGCATGAAGCCCAGCATCAGCTGGGGGCTCCCTAGCTGATCCCAGGCTCCCTGCAGCATTTCTGCAGAACCCAGAATCAGCTGGGGAGTCCCCAGCTGACCTCGGGCTCCATGTGGCACTTCCACTTTGAAATGCCGAGTGGAGCCCGGGATCAGTCCCCACCTAACCCTGGGCTCTGTGCAGCATTTCCACAGAACCCAGGATCAGCTATGAACCCCCCATCTGATCACAGGCTCCAGCATGGTATTTCAAAGCATGCAGAGCCTGGGGTCAGCTGGGGAGTTCCCAGCTGATCCCGGGTTCTGCGGAAATGCAGTGTGGAATCCGAGGTCAGTGAGAAATCCTCAGCTGATCCCGGGTTCCAGGGAATGCTATGCAAAGCCGAGGGTCAGCTGACCCCGGGCGCCACGTGGCATTTCAAAGTGGCAGCGTAGCATGGAATGGGAGCTCTTGTACATTTCAAAGGAGGAATGCGGAAGTGCCCATCAACTAGTCAAGATGGAAATTCCATCAACTACTCAACTAGTAAATTACTCGTTAGTTAAAATCCTTATTCTGGACACCTTGGGAAAGTTTCACACTCATCATCCAATCTCTTCCTCAGAAGAATCAATTCTTGCTCCTCCTTTGACCAATGGTTCCACTGTTCAAGTCTCTAATGTATCTTTCAGGTCCTCTTCCTGTGCCTTTTGGTTCCTCCCTCACTCCTGCTTCCACTTTGATCCTGGTTGCTCGCTCCAATTGCAGGTCTTGAAGATTAGTGACCTGAGCTCATGGATACTTTCTGGGCCATGTTCTTCTGTGATGCATCCTTGTTTACCTTAGCCACAGCTGTTTACGGTTCCTCTTCCTTCTTGGCCACTGTAATATGAATTCTGTAATATGAGTCTACAGCAAAGCACTCTGTTCACACAGATCAGTAGAATCTTCCTCGCGTTTCCTGCAAGTTATTTCTACTTCTCACCACTGACCTGCCTTGTGATCCTGTGGCTCTTCCAGCTCATCTCTCATACTACTGGCTCTTATTTTTTTCTGTCCTCTCCAGAACCATCATCTTTAGTCTTTCTAGTGCCTTACATTGCTCCGCGATGCTCCTGTTGAGTTGTCCTCTTGGTGTCACTTATTTACTCTGTCACTACTGCAGCTCCAGGCAGAGAAGTAAAACCTGGTCCCTCAACGGTTTCATCTCCTGCATCTTCAACATCTAGATCTGGTCCCAGAGCCACCTCTTGCTCCTACTGCTGACTCTGAAGTTGGCCCTGTGGCTCAGAGAGCCACAGCTGCCTGCGATTCTGCTGCAGTTTCTGGATCCAATTGCAAAAACTTCCACTTCTCCATCTGAGTCTTAACCCATTTATGCAGAAATTTCTTCAACTACTTGGGTTCTTGGAGGCAAGCTTGGGAGTTTCCTCAGATGAATGTTGTGCTTGCTATTCAGTGTATGGATTTGTTTGCCCCCTCTCAGCCACAACAAATGGCTGCCTTAAGCACTCGATTTGTTCCTATTGCTTATCCAGGTAGTGCAGGAAAACCTGCATCTGGGCCGACAAATCCAACTGTTCTAGACTGTCAGCAAAATAGAGACTATGGATTTCAGGAAGGCAGATTTTAGTAAACTCAGAGAGCTGGTAGGTAAGGTCTCATGGGAGCAAGACTAAGAGGAAACACAACTGAAAAGATTTGGCAGTGTTTCAAAGGGACATTATTAAGGGTACAAAAGCAAACTATTCTGTTGCGTAGGAAAGGCAGAAAGTACAGCAAAAGACCACCATGACTTAATCAGGAGATCCTGCATGATCTACAAATCAAAAAGGAGTCATATAAAAAGTGGAATCTAGGTCAAATTACAAAGGATGAATCCAAACAAACAACACATGTATGCAGGGGCAAGATTAGAAAGGCAAAGGCAAAGGCACAAAATGAGCTCAATCTAGCTAGAGACAAAGGGTAACAAGACAACATTCTATAAATATATTAGAAGCAAGTGGAAGACCAAGGACAGGGTAGGCCTATTTCTCAGTGAGGAGGGAGAAATAATAATAGGAAACTTGGAAATGGCAGAGGTGCTTAATGACTCCTTTGTTTTGGTCTTCAAGATTTTTGATGACGAAGGGATGCCTAACAAGCAAATACTCATGGAAATGGGATAGGTTTAGAAGTTAAAATAAAAAAAGAAAGTTAAAAATTACTTAGAAAAGTTAGATGTCTTCAAGTAACTAGGATCTGATGAAATGCATCCTAGAATACTCAAGGAACTGACAGAAGAGGTATCTGAGCCTTTAACTATCATCTTTGAAAAATCATGGAACTCAGGAGAGATTCCAGAAGACTGGAAAAGGGCATAGTGTTCATCTACAAAATGGGAAAAACCACCCAGAAAACTACAGACCAGTCAGTTTAACTTCCATGCCAGGGAAGATAATGGAGCAGGTAATTAAGGAATCCGTCAGCAAACATCTGGAAGAAAATAAGGTGTCTTAAAGCTGGGAGAGCCTGGCATGTTGAAACTATCGATAACTGACTAAAGTATGAAGTATTACTAAGCTAATTATGCTATTAGTTTTGTTTTCCTGTCAGAAGAGAAGAGCACTGTTCTGACTCTGTTTTCAGCCGAGGACGATAGAAAAGGAACTGAGGTGGCTTATGGTGCATGCACACTCAATGAATGGCAGGAGCGCGAGGTGCGCAGGCATGGCGCAAGGGGCACTTCTCACCAAAAGTCTCTGATCAGCGACAAGGATGCACTGAGACCTGAGTGGAGCACCCATAGGGACACCACTTCAAGAAGTCATTCTTCCACTCTGCGCTGATTATGCCTCAATTGGAGTAGTGTGT